GAACAATGAAAGTCCAATTACAGCGATTTACGTAAGACGATAATAAACAGAAGACGGATTAGAAGAAAAAAGAGAAACAAAGGTGAGTTATACATATAAAAGTCTTTTATTCTCTCCGCGCATAGCCAGATCCATCCTCATTATATAAACATCTTTATGCTCATGTTAAGGAAAAGTTGGTACTTTATAAAGGAAAGCAGAGCAAACTGCTTTGCATTCGTACAATGAATGGCAATTGTAAGAAACAAGCTGGCCCGAGAACAGAGAACTCGTTTACGGATTGTAAAGTTCATAAACGTATGCTAATAAGCCTGATCAAATTTATGTTCCATACAAAAGTTTGCAACGGAATTTTCTTCAAAGAATTTAATATCCGGTGAGTTTTTCCACGTTCGGATTTAAATTCTCTGTAGACTTCAAAAGCCGTGGTGCGAATGAGAAGATAGTATTTATGTTTTAATTAAAAATCAATTAACGCCTTGACGGAATACGTGACATCAGTTCGTTATCACTTTGGGCTAGAATAGAGGTTGTAGGGTTAAAAACTCATTAAGCTCCCAAGCTTCGAGGTTCCAACAAATTACATATTCAAGCGATTAATTAATTAAATTATTAATTCTCAAGATTCAGCGGTCTTCTCGCACAGATTGATTAAAGAAGGCAATAACTGTAAACATTATACAGCTTTAAAGATCAGACGTTCGTGTTAAATCATCGTCAAATGTGTTCTGTGCAATTTGTTCCCACCCCAGCAAGTCTTAATGCTTACAGCGAGAAATGTTTTTGGCAACCGCTGAAACCAATCGCAGACTCTATTGTCGGCTATAAATCTTGGTATACCACGGCTTTTTCACGACTTCGAACAGAATAATGTAAGACCTTAGATGTAATTACAATGATTTAAGTCATGTTAAGTTGCTGATTTATGACGTCTTCGATATACATACAAGTAGGAAACATATTATAGATTACACAAATTAGCTGACAGTTTACACACAAAGCACAGTTTTCAAATCATCTGTATGATGATTAATACCAAATACTATTCAAAGTCTTTTTAAAAAAACTGAAGTAACTAAAGTAAATAAATTCAATTTATTACTGTAATCCATCAAGTATCAACCCAAGGTATGCGTCGCAACCACATCGAACGGTTTTTTTAAATTTACTTTTTAAGAAGGTAAATTGGAAAGTTGTTCAAATGACAGTTGAAAAACAAGATTCAATTTTATCTGATATGTGTTAACATCCAAACTGTAAGTTGGGTCTGATTTTTGACACTCCGGAAAATATAGCAACATTTATTTTGAGATAAAATTCCAACAAATCCGTACTACACTATAAATCTTGTTGACGGCTCTCCAGCTTTTGCAATAAATTGCATCTGAACAAACTGATCTCATTTAAATTATTGGTATGCGCCAATACCCACTAACAATTTTAAGACAGACTGCTGTTTCTTATTAACAATTTTTATTACAAATATATTACTTATTTTAAAGATTCAACAGACATTAATTATTTTATTCTCTGATTCGCGAATTCTCAAAAACTCGATAATTATTATTGTGTAGGTAAAATTATGGAATAGGTAAATGTTTTAAAAAGTCTCCTGCTGTTTACCACTGATTTCAAACAATTTACACTTACAGTATTCAAGTCGAAATAGCGGTGGAAAATAAAGTCATTTTGAAAATCGAGCACGATCGAGCAATAACGTTCCTAGTGCTTTTGGCTTTTGATAATGGAAAGTTCTCGTAAGAAGGCGAATGTTAAAATTTCAGGTTGAACATTTAAAGATAAGCTTTCTGACAGAAATGAATCGCATCTGCGAATCAGTAAATAGTTGCTACCTACTTTTTGTGCTGTGCTGCTTGCCATTTAAATTCCATTGAATTTTATCCCTAATTTTTACTAATATGGTTTCCATTTTCACACTTTTTAAGAATTGAATTAGAATATTTATTTTGTAGGTAATTAAAAAAGACAGTCTTACAGATTATAAATCAAAGTTTAGACCAAGTTTTTTTTTAATACATATGTCGTAGGCTAATTGTAAATTCAGTCGTTTTATAAAACGCCTAGTCTTTTTGAAAACGACTAGGCAAATTGTAAATGAATTAATAAATGTAGGGTTTTTACAATATGACGGAAAAGTTTAGGCGTATTATAAAAAGCCTAATAAGTTTTCGTCTTATTGTAAAATGTTTTTAAATATTCTCCATTTAGAAAATGACTGGTTACATTCAGTCGTTTTGTAAAAGACTGAAAAATATTATTTTATAAGATACCAATTTCTATTGTAGTTAGATAATCTATTTAAAAAACAAAGTCAAATGTCAAACGTTTTTAATGAATATAAAAAAGAAACATATTTCAAGAAAACAAATAAATTTTCTTAACGGTTTCATCGTACAGTTGCGGAATTAAAATTTGGGACAGTACATATTATCATTTTCATACAGTAAGCTGTAAAACAACCTTTACATTAAAACCTCATTTTTTACTCTTGTCATGTTTATGTCATTTTGACTTATTTACTTTTAAAAATATTGATTTGTGGCATAATAATGGGTATAGGCGCAGATCAAACCAATGATTTAATTACACTTTGAATTAATAATAAATTAATAAATTTCCTAAGACAGACAAATTGTTTAATTAAAAATTTTAACAACAAAAAAAGTTTAATTGTCAAATGTAAGCCATAATGACAGTAAGAGGTAGTTTACATTGAACTTTTTAAAGTTAATCTGTGACGCAGGTTTGTTTCAGTCGTATTATAAATTAACCATACGTACTTTTTAATGACGAAAACTTATTAGGCTTTTTATAATAATACGCCTAAAATTTTCCGTCATATTATAAAAACGCTGCATTTATTCATTCATTTACAATTTGCACTGTCGTTTTCAAAATGACTAGGCGTTTTATGAGACGACTGAATTTACAAGTAGCCTACGACACATACAACTTACGACTAAATACTTTGTTAAATAAATACACGTGTTTCCCACTACTAATTAATGTGGTCAATTATGCGAACTTTACTCAGATATTTTTTCTATACAAAAAAGCAAATTAAGCGCTGCAAATGAGTGGCTTTAATAAAGACTTTTTCGAAGCAATATAAAATACACCCTCGTTTTAAACGAACAGAAAATATTCGCCTCGTTATACCCTGTGTAAAGTTATAAAAAATTATCGTTGTAATTTAATACCTAATTTATTCATCCCGCTGCAAAAATGTTATTGTGTCTCGTTAAAATTTTTATCGTTTCAATCAAATTTTCTGATTTCGGGCGAAGAGCAAACAAAAATCAATTGTGGTCGGTTCGGCAATAATTGAGACATTATTTATTTAGCAATAAATTCATAACTATAACGTAATGCTTTTTTTTGCAATAACGTATCAATTTGAAATTTTATGTTTGTCCATAAACGCTTGAATAAATAAATAGATTTAATAGACTCAAATTTTGAAATTTTAGCAATACACAGCTTCCTTGTTTCAGGTAGAGTTATCTGTTTTCACAAATAACTTTATTTTACAATTCCGCATGCATGATATACTGTGCATATTTACATTGAATGCACAAATATGTCAACTGAGCCTGATAGCATTGTTTGTGACAACATAAAAATCGGACATGAAAATTAAACTGGTTATGTCTACAAAGTCCGTTGGCATTATTTCAAACTACAAAATGTGCACTCATTATTTCGATGCTCGAGTTTGTTTTTCTTACAAAACTGGTGTTTCACTGCGGAAATTAGCCAATTAACTGGCGACAGCATCGCACAATGCAATATTTTGCAATAACATCATTATTATATTACCATTTATCTCGTTTAGAACAATTTTGTTTACATTTATTTTCCATTGTTAATTTTATACGATAATTTATTTTCATTGCAAGTTACTACGCCATATCAAAAGGATTTATTTTTTTTAATTATAAGAAAAAAACATCCAGCATATACACTCCAATGAAGTTTTAGTTCAAGCAAAGTAAGGTAAGGTAATTTAAATCGAAATCCCATGTAGGATACAGTAAACAGGATCTAGTCCCGTATTTTTTGCGGATAGATGGCGAGAAATCGAAATTAGAACAACATAACGGTCGATAACGATCGTACGTTTCCACTGAAAACCATCGTAGCTAATAAAACGTGATGCTTTTTCAAGCGAAAGGAAAATCAACCGAAAAACCCGACAAAACAAATCCTGACAAAAGGGTCCACATGCTACTTATTCACTTAAAATCGTAATTAAATATGTTTTGAAACAAATTCCCAAGTCATATGTGTACCAAATTAAAAAACATAATGACTAAAGCATTCTCATTTTGAAAGATGTTGTTCTCGCTTATTACTGAAAAAAATCGGAAATTATAGCGTGTTTACAATGAAAACATTCCCATAAAAAATTAAAATCAAAATTTTTGTAGTATAAGCAGGAATCAATTTCTTCTCAGCGAAGGTAAATTCGTTCATTGTGTACAAACATTGATTGATGAAAATTTCCGCCACAGGCGATGAAAATATTTCCATAAACATTTTTAATATAGGTGTTTTTTCACGAGACGACATTTTATGAAAATGAAACTTTACGGAATATTCTCCTATTGTAACACTCTCCAACCAGGTACATTTCGCAATGTTGTTTTTCATTATTGGTTTTCTAAAAATTTCAATCATCTACGTTTGCTTTTGATTTTCATTTCATATTACAATTTTAAGAGAAATATATGCGTCTTCGATTTATGTAAAGTTGAAGTAAAAAATATAAAACCAGACGCTCACTCAAAACCCGTTTTCTCTAACAATTTTATTATAACTGTTATATCACTCAAAGCATGTATTTAATTTTTAATGTCTATAGAATCATATTTTCAGTACTAGGATTTAGATAAAACTGAACACCAGTTTGACGATTTCTTTCCTCATAAGAATAGGAGACACTTGCTTCTTACTTTACTTCTTTTAAAACAAAATAATTTTTCTGAAAATATTTATTAAGTAATTGAAAAGTTATATACAAAACACAGAACGTTCACAGTATTACTTTTAGTACAAAAGCCAGTTATAATGTACATAGCGTTTAAAAATGAATGTACAATTATCGCTCATATTGACAAACATTATGTGAACGCAACATTAGTAGAGGATAATTAAATAGGTGCTAGGTAATCAATAAAAAAAAACACAAATAAAAAATAACGCAGTGCCATAAAAGATCACAAAGACTAGAAAATATTGGCAACTCACGAATGGAGTAGTGCTTTCAATTCCGTAGATAACAAGGCACCTCTTCAATGTATATACATTTTACATAACAGCATATATTACGATATCATAATGAATACAAAAGCCTAATCACAGACACTATAAATTTGACTTAAAATTGTCAATGACAAAACATCAAAACAAATTACTTAAGTACAGAAAAAATCAAACAATTGGCAGTTTTTATTACACGGAGTTTATCAATTTAAAATAATGTTGTATGAAAGCTACTAGTTATAAAAATATAATTTGGAAAGGCAATCATCAGCATTTTATTTCACACTGCATAAAAATAAAATATAATTTTGATATGTCAGAACACGCAATTAAAAATCGAGTTTTCAAATAAAATTGATAGATGTAGTGCGGAAACATCCACCAAATAAATAGACTAGTTTGTCCAACAACAAAGCAAGTTTAGGTCAAAAAAGGCCTTTTTCTTTCTTTATAGCAGTTTGTTTCCACACCGGTAATTTCTGAAATTCTTCTTTAGTCATAGACAAACATTCTTGGAAATCTTCAGCCGACAAGTAAATTTCTAGATGAGTCGGATCGACACCTTCAGGTAAAGGCCGTTGCAATAACTCGGACAACGGATAAGTTGTTCTTAAAAGGAGAGCTAACTCGTCTTCAACCAATAGCTTCGCATTTCTCTTCCTCCCTTCTTTCAAATTTAATTCAGCAATATCCTCTCTGTCTACCCAACAAGGAAACAAATTCTTAAACTCCAAAGGTTCCAATCCTGCCCAAACTAAATAAGCAGGCACCGATTCATCGCCACTGTGACTCTCACGCCAATAGCTCACAGCAGTCTGCATGGCGGCTTTTCTTTCGGCTTGCCATCGAACTGCCCCGGATCCTGTCTGGTCGCTCAGTTCCATTTCATCCTTTTCTTTCTCGGGCCACCAACCTTGCCATAGCCATAATTCATGATTGTTGTCAATCATAAACAACGCTGAAACAGAATAAAATAAACGCATATAGAAAAAAATCACAGAAAATACGTAAAACCTAGTCAGCAAAAAGACGTGAATCAACAACTATGCATTAGACTGTCACCCCTTATCACGACACAAACGAGTTTCTACAGATGGCTCTCACACAAGATGGATAAAGGCAATGTCTATGTTTAAAAGTTATATCGTCAATCAAAAATTTTTCAACCGGATGTACATTCTAGTCGGCGAAACAGATTGTTAGGACGTCTGTCTCTTCAATTATTCCAGCACATTTAAGCATGTGCAAATAATATACGCCCTACCCAAGTCAATTTGTCACTTAGACTTTATACATGTTTACAAGGTTATTCCTAATATTCATACAAATTTTGAACCAATATTTTTAGCAATTTTTTTTGTCACTACTAGCTTGAGTAGACATCATTATATGTCGTGCTTGATGCTTAAGAAATTCATTTTCTCCACCTTAGCTTATATTTTTCTCTCCTACTATCCAGCCTGATTATTGTAGAAACTTTTCAACTTCTAACGTAGCTACAGCGTTGTAATTTTGTATGTGACCAAAATCGACCATTACTAATTAAACTAAATTATTTTCAAAATGGCTAAACTTCCGAAACTATGACTAATCGGCGCCAACTTTGCAATTTCAAAACCATCCATTTTTATTGAACTTAAATTCGTTCTAACTTTTTATTTTACATTATCATTGAATAAACGTCAAACAAATGTGCTAGTAGCGAAAAAAAAGATTTATAAGCCACAGGAAAGAACAATTTTATAGCTTTGATTACATTTTTACTCTCGGCTCTCCCTTGATATAAAATTATTATTTTTGATATCGCACAGAGACCATTTTTATTTTGGTATTTCAAATAAAGCTAGCGCTTCAATAGCAATTTAATTATTGTATAGCACAAAAATAATTTATGTGAGTCATTTTACAATTTAACTCTTTACCGTAAAACCCCAGTCCATAAACATTTTAATATACTAATTTGAGTTTCCTTAATGTAATAACACTTCTTATTTGTTTTCTACCAAGTTTTGCATGTACCTACTTAAACTAATTTAGTAATAAATTGTGTTGCTAGAGGAATAAATTATAGCAAAAACATTTATTTATTTACAATCACACTACTATTTGTTATCTAATATCTATAATTGTAAGGTAATTAACATCAAATTTTATTTAATAAAATAAAGTCACAAACCATATTTGACCAGAGAAAATGTTTACACAAAATTAGATGTACAAATAAAGATGGTAGAATGTAAGAGAATTTTTCTGTTGTGAAGTAATTGTATTTATTGTGCCAATAAAGACCATGGTTACTATTAAGTATTAAAAATAAAATTGCTTATTTCTATTATTATTATTTCTACAAACTTAACGAAGGGAAAAACGGCTTGGCACAATTTTCAATTTACGATAAATTAAGTGCTTCAGCGATTTCTATAAGAAAATTAATTTTTTATCAATTTTAATTAATAAAAAATACAAATAATACATAACCGCATTTGGAAAAAGAAAAACAAAAAAAAAACATAAGAGAACTTGTATCTACTTCAAGAACCGTTGTATGTAGTGATATTTTTGTCAAAATTTCTGATGAAAATGTTAAAAATAAATTTTGGGATTGTTCATAAATACTTAAATGAAAATGAAATCATAAATCATACATACTGGAATAAATAACAAGATACTCACCAGGTTGACTAGCTGAATAAAGTTCTGTTTGTAGAAACGGAAATGGACAAGAATATTCACTCCTATGCGGACACAAAATTTCTGTAGCTTGAAACGTTCCCGAAACAGCACTAAGATGAAAAAGCCTCATAGTAAAATCATAATCCAAATCACTGCCCAACAAAGACATGTAATCATCACGACCTCCTTCAACATTCTCCATAAACTCCTCATCCTCCTCCCCTTCCTCAATTACAATCCCCATACATTCAGCCGACATTTTAGCCACTTTCCGTTTTTGTTTACTCGACTTCGTTCCATGCCACACGACAACTTTCCCTGACTCACTTAAAATGAGTATAAACGAAGTTCTGCTCCTCAACTCTTTCATCTGACACGGTACTTCCATGAGGCAAACTTCATCTTCCAATTCTCCTCGCACCATAAACAACATCGATTTGTGTTGATTTTCAGAATCACCCCTTTTGCCATCGTGCACCACCATAGGTCCGTTAAATAGTTTCAGAAAAACAGCAGGCTCCGCACCTTGAACAACTCGCACTTGAGGTGCCTTTTCGTGATCAAGTTCCACTGTTAAAAGTGCGGCAGAGCCTTTTTCGTTAATCGATGCGTTCGATCCTTGCCAGCAAAAATAAACGCATCGATCACGACCTGCTTGGAGATACTTTGACGGCTTCCCGCTTAAATCCCGGCCTTTTACCGTTGTCCTGTAATTCCATTTAATGATGTAACTGTGGCTGTTATAAAAATGACGGACAGTATCGTCACTTAGTTGCTCTGGATGGTTTTCTGATACTTTCCAAACCGATATCTTTAAGGTATCAAACTCGTACAGTCTTTTCGTTTCTTCGTCAAACCATTGATCACCACGACCTAAGTGAATATTTTCTATCACCAAATCAGGAGTGTCATTGTCCCTTTTAAGCATTTGGGCAACATCACAGGATTTGATATTGTAGGAAGGATCGACGTTTTTATCTTTCTGATCACTCTTTACTTTGATTACTCTGGAAAAGTCAGGCCAATCTAGAAATTTTTCTTTGAATAAAATTGTTTCTCTGTGCTGAGTTATTTTAGCAAAAAGAGCCCACTCTGGTCTGGACTTTCCTTTGTGTGAAACATCCATTGAAGGTCGATTGCCAAGTACTGAAGCTACGTTCAAAGGACAAACACTGCACTCGGAATAATCATAGCCAAGGTCCCACAATTCTTTAGCCAATTTAAAAGCTAAGTTCTTCTTATCGAGAGGTGCATTTTTTCCGCTCCAAACATACATTTCAGTACCGAAATCAAACACCAACACTTCGGTCGGTTTCAAGATATCGATTTTGGGTATTTTTCCCCAATATTCTTCAAAAGGCACCAATTCGTTACTTTCTAATTTATAAATCATGTTAGTAGCGAGTATGTTAGATTCGTAGACAGCATCCTCTTCAGGGTTACCACCGCTAGTAACAGTTTGTTCCCCTTCACAATTAAGTATTTTCCAGAATTCGCATATTTTTTTATTTGTTGCAGAAATATTTTCGAAATTAATGTTAACAACTTCAGCTTCTTGACAACCCAAATCGCCACTTCTTTGAATGTGGTTGATAATATCTGATGCCCTTGACTGTTCAATCACATTCGAATATTTCCCAGTGTAATTATATAAAATGGAACGATTGATGAGAATGAAATTATCGCCTTCGTTGATACTAGCTGCTACAGGTTCGACTAACCGTGTTTGAACAAATTGTCGGCCTTTAATATGTAATAGCATCACGTCTTTGTAAGGAACCATTGTAAGAGGAGTACGTGATTTTTTTAAAGCAACTGATTTAAAATCTTCTTTGCTTGCTAAACCGGCCAAAGCAGCAGTAGCAAAGCTTGAACTTTTAGAAACTACAAAAAACATTGATAACGACCATAAATTTACAAACAATATTACTCACGTTTCTCTATATTCAGTCTTTTCTTTTCTCTCTCGGCTACACCAGTGATTATTTCAGTGTACTCGTTCGTGATGTCTGTGCGAGAAGCTAAAGCCTTGATCGGGTTTTTGGAAGCACCACGTCTTCTCCGTACTTGTACATTTTTCTTTTGAACTAACAGAGACTGTCGAGTGATTAAATCGAAATCTTCTTGAGATACTTCTATTTGATCTGTAATTTCTTTGCCTTCGAGGCTCTTGTAAAAACTCCTATAAGTCTCGTCGTCCGGTCTAGAAACGACTACTTTCTGACTTGATGCTTTGAAAAATACTTCTGAACCTAACAAAGTTAGTTAGACAAAAAAATATTAAGTGTAAAGTTTACCAGAATTATCCTGATTTGGATCCGGTACAGAAAAACTTCTTGATAACTCGACATGTCGATTTTTGTCAGGAGAAACAGGTGTAGAAAAAGCTTCTGACCCTAAGAAAATTATCTGTTTTAGACAATATTTTTATCACTAAATAAGGATGAGAATTTTTAAAGGCGTGATATCAAAAAAGTAAATACAGCCATACGAAAATGTGATTTAAGAGTTTGTAATTAACTTTTATCTACCTTCCTTGCCTTTGAACCTCTTGGCTTGGGGAGTCCTCTTATTCTTATCACAGTCTGCAGCTATATTAATTTGAAGATTTGATTCTTCTCTATTTTTTTCCATTTTCCCAGCCACAGAAAAATTTTCCGCGTCCGATTTTTCCACACGATTTTTCCACTGTTTCGATGCTGCATCCAGTTCATCTTTCTTGATTTCCAAAATTGATCTTTGTGACAACTGATCCTGGTTTAAAAACACGAATTTGAAATACCATAATAAAAAAACAACCAATACACCGATAATAATTCCCAACATTTTAGCCAAAATCTCCCACAGAGAAGTGCGCACTATAACTTGGCACCAGTTCACTTATTATTGATGGGTTTCCTTCAGTAATAACTTCATGATAAGTAAGTCACTTATCGGTAAAATATGTGCAAAATTAGATAAGCTTCACGGTTTTATACTAATTTATATTGGGTGCGTTCGAACTTATTATTTGTGTATCAATGAGTGCCTAATGCGCGACTGAGGTTTTGAGCATCTATTTACGATGACACACGCAGAGAAAAATACTAAAAGGAGAAAGCGATATAAAACTTCCGCTTGAAACGATAAGCGCATTTAAATCAAGGATAAAAATCACGTAACTAGTTAAAATGTAATTGCTAGTATCCCAAAAAAATATAGGTCAACACTTGTAAACGGCATATAGGCAATTTGAACAAGAAATATAAGTACCCAATTAAGGGTAAATTTATAAGATTAGATTAATTAAATCAGCACAAATTGCGAAATGTGATTGTGATACTTTTTATGAAGCTATCAAGATAAAAAAAAATAAAAACCATATTTCCCTCTAACAAAAATCAGACTAGATAGTTTTTGAATGTGTCGTTTTTCGAAAGAAATAAAATATTTAAACCCATTAGTCAGTATAATTTAGATATTTACACTTCTAGTTTCGAATACCCAGGCAAAACTTAAGGTTTTACAAGAAAATATCCAATTAGCGCCTTTTACACCACATCTCATATAATTTATCGTTATCAAAAACTAATTATTACAAAATGCTTTTAACCAATACTTACATTATACCGATTCATCTTTAGCAGTTTTAAGTCATTGCTGGAATTATTGTTCTGTTTCTTTCTCCATCCGGATTCGCCGCTTTGCTGCAGCTTAGCCTGGATATCTTCGATAGCTCGAGGCATCGTGGATTGAGTCTGAGATCTTCGGATTGCACTTTCTTTTTTATTAGATGATTCGTTTTCATCCTTGAAGGTATTCTGACTTTTGCTTTTGGAGAGAACGCTTTCTAATTTTTGTCTGAAACAACACAAAGATTATTTCTGTTGCCATCAGAACAAATTCAAAAATTTCTGATTTGCATTCAGGTGCAATCAGCATCCTTTACCTATTTGCAATACCGTGGCGCAACAAATTATTTAACATTAAAACCACGCATTTTGAGAATGTAATGCAAAGATTGTTCTGATAATAACTGCTAATATACGAGTACGAGTAAATTAGGCCATCGAAAAGATGTAAAAAAGATAAAACGATTGCTAGCCCAATGTCAAATGTGGCGATCGTCAAATAAGATGTCATACGTGTAGTTAAAAATGAAGGTCATGGTCATAGTCTATATAAAGTAGTAACTAAATAAGGACTTTAAACGTACAAAAATTATTGCAGAAGGTTCCGGCCATAAGCTTACCCAAATAAAAAAAAATCCATTGTCACGCTATACAAAAAAGTAGTTTTTACAAATGAAAAACTGTCGATTTTTAGAAAACAAAATATTAATTAGTAACACAATCACAATACAATACATCCATCGTTAAATGTAAATAAAAGAAGCAAAATAATTTTGAAACAAGTAAAAATGAAAGGCTTATTAGAGCTTCAAAGTTCAGCAAGGAAGCGGAATAAGCGTAACAAGCAGACCTTCATAAAATAGGAGTAGTGTCACGAACCACCGTCTTTCTAAAAATAAAAAGACTAAAAGAGGAAGTTCAAGAACGTTACCCTTTCAACTCGTGGGAAGGACGTAACTAATGAGTCGTTAAAAAGAACCGAATGGTGTCAGGAAAAGCGTCACATCTGACGTAACGAAATAGATCTTTCTGAAATCCTTTTATATGTTACGTCGCCCGTCGCTGAGTTTATTGATCGCCATTATAAATGTTTGTCTGGCGCCCTTTACACTGTCTGCCATTGGTACTTATTTAAGGAAGGGTTAATAAGCGGAAAGTTCGCTAATATTAAGTGAAGTTTGTTGTTAACTAAAGAAACCTCTTAATACATGGCCCTAAATAAGTCTACATTACTGTTTGAAAGTAATAACAATACAGTAAAGTTGAGATTGATTAAGTTAAAAAAAATAAGGATATCAACTGATTAAAGTAGCAATATTGTGAATCATGTTTGTTTTGAAATGGTTTTGTTGAGAACAATATATTTCAAACAAATGATAACACATTCTAATATAACTAATCGGAACATAATCATTTGTTATTGTTACTTTTATAAGTCAAAAACAATGTATGTGTTGTGCATATGCTATCAATAAATATTAGTAAAATACAACATTCTACTAAACTCTTAAAACGTTTATTGTAAAACAGTCAAATAAAGTCAATACAATATAATGAAAAGTTATTAACTTACACAAGCTATATCATAAATCAAGATATCCAATATAAAAATCTCATATAATTATACTGTTGCTGATTTTTTTCTTTTAAACAATCGTCTACAGATAGAAATGTGATGGAAACATCACATCAAATGATTGAGTTTGTGATATAAACGCAATTAAACCTATTCAGTTTAAAGCATTTTATTATTGGCTCCAAATTGATAATAGATAAACTTCAGTATTCCGTACTTCTTAAAACTCAAAAAATTATACATACCTTCGTCATTTTCAAAGATTCTAGTAAGAGCTTTTTAACACAAACTTATTGATGTGCTTGTGAAGCAGTCACAAGCAATCAAAACATTATCTAGCACCGTAAGTGTACCAGGTAGTGACAGCTGCAATGCTGTACGCGCACTGAATAAACTAACTTCGTGCGACTACGACTATGGCACGAGATAAATATAAAAGCTGCTCTATTATGGAATAAAATCATCGTTCGATGCGCTTAGTCTTTAGAAATATCTATATGACCTGACTCTAGGGGCTACCAAACAGAAAAAATTACAAAAATGTATGTTTAAACACATTTCGTTTAATAAATCTTATTTTACATTATATCCACAATAGAAAAAATAACGACGAGTGCGTTAATAACGAAAAACAAAATTAACTTATGGTAAAAAATAATAGTCGAAATAGGTCAAAAAGCAGTGACCTCAGAAAACGGTTCATTCAATTAGCTTTCTGACTATGTATGTACCTGCAATGTGGCATGAAATTGTCGGCCCACCTCTGGGTTTGTTTTACGTTGTTTTATAATCAAATTTTCGTAGAGCATTAAAAATCAACTTGGTGACCTTTCAAAGAGATCTTTTGTTCCAAAACACTAATCATCTTCCACACGATTGCAGACGATCCCTGTGAACTTTTCAAAGAGAAATATTTGTTTGAATTTTCTCCGACATTATATTAAAGATTAAAAAATAGTAAGTAGGTCGGCACGATTGAGGTATCGATTGGATCAGTATAGATACTCGTACTTTGTGAATAATAAATGAATAAAAACCGAAGAGTTTATTTTATTAATAATCCTATCCGCTATTTGAATGAAGCAACAATAATCAATACAGACAATGCAGTAGATTAACTTCCGTTTTTCAAATTTGTTACAAAACAAGGTTTTACAAATAAAACTAATTTGTACATAATTTTAATTGATTATTAATTTAAAACAAGTGAAATTACTCCATCCTTCCCATTAAGTAACTTCGATATTAGATAATTTGTTAAATTTTAAATTAATTTCTACGCATACATATTTAACACAAAGTACTTTCTCACTTCGTTATCAATTTCACAAACTATAAATACTCGTACGTATAAGTACATAGTGTGTTAGAGATAATATAAGAGAGTTTCTAGATCAATATCTCAATTATCAAAGTATAAAAATATATACATACTTGGAATTAAACAAATAAACCTGAAATCGAAAAAAGCTTCCAAGTATGTTTTATAACAGTTTTCATTGTTATTTTAATGGCTAAAAGATGCACTATTGCGCAGTAGTGCGTAAAAGTGACATTTTTACGAACTAGTGCATAAAACTATAACTTTTGACAATTTTAAGGACTTGCTTTGAGTGGAATTCCTACTTGATTCCGCTATTCCAAAGTTTAAGTAATTTACTTTCCTTTGATGAATTAAAACATAAAAATAACAATTTACGCTTTAGTAAACAATTACGCAATGAATAATTTTGTAATGCCTTTAATTATCTTAATACTTCAAATAAGTGAACCTCACACTAATGACATGAGGCACACAAACTTGCTGAACAGCTGATGTCATTGTGCATACAAGACCATACAATTGATAGAGTATTGTAATAAACTGATAACACTAGAGTACTTATATAGCAAACAATTGACTTAATAACACAAATACACCTTCTGTTTCCAATTCAAGTATATTTTAACAATAACAAATTTTATTTCTTAACTGTTGAAAATTTAATTGATTATTGTACGAACAAATAATTTTCCGTTATCTCAATGATGTCGCATTGGGCTAATAAAACCTAATTTAAAACTGTTAATATAAAAAAAAACACTAACATAGCTTATGTGACAATAATTTATTTCTTTGTTTAGTTATGTAAACCTAAAGCTAAAACAAGTTTCCTTGACACCTTACAAATTCTCGCCTGTAATATGTGATTAGAAAAAACATATACAATACAAGCGTATTTATAATTGCATTTTATAAAAAAAATTACACCGATACACGTGACAATATATGTATGTATACCTTTATAAATCCGTGAAAGTGTCACTAGAAACTTACGACTGTTCTGAGCAAGGCCTTAAAGTAAGCGTTTCGTAAATATGTATATTTTACATTCTTGTCCTTATCAAACAGGTGCGATTATACAGTTATGTTACATTTTTTCGGCTATACCAGAAATCAAAGTACTTATTTTATTTTGTTATTTATAATTAAAATTTTTACACCTAGAAGATTTTAATACAAAACGAACTGCTTCGTAAAGTTCAATTTGAATCAAACGCATTAAAACACACCTACTGCATGCAAAGATCGTAAAATGTTTTACGACCTCTGCATCGATTAATTCCTAAAAAATAACCGATGATAATTAAGACCTGCTTTAGAGAAATCAATAACTGCGATCTTAGAATGAGGCTTCTTCAAGGATTACATTCGAAAGTATCTTCGTACACAAGACTTATCTTGGACTTTATGTACTACTTTAATACAAGCTATATTTGCTCCTGCATGTTGACTGTTGTAATTACATAGATATTAATGGAGACAAGTCTTTTCCTATGTTGTTTCATTTTAATTTTGACTGAATAATCTCATATTAAACTTACAAGAAAGATACTTGTTTAGTAATCACCACCATGATGGCCTTGTACACCTATTTTCAAGATAAGAGGCAGAGTTACCTAGGACTACCACAGTACGTGCATACTTTGACCTATTCGGTATTTATAAGACGAGCAAACAATAGCAAATACCGAAACTAAGGCTAGAATTTTTTTTGTACCTTTCTTTCCATGCAAACTTTGAGAAAAAGAGGTTTCTTATAGTAGTCGTAACGTTATAAAATACATTCAAGTTTTCAATTTGAACACTGAAATTATTTATAAAGGTCCTCAAACTTTTGTTTACAAAACAAAGTGAAATTATCTGCAAACCGTTAATAATTTATTATGTATTACAAAAGAAATTACTGAGCATGAAATAAATTCACTAGTACGCCCAAATTATTAAATAAGCGAAAATAAACCATGAACATTGAAAACCACCAGTTTTTACACGTAAAAATTATCCATTTCTGCGCCTAAAATTTCTTGACTTGTAAAAAAAACTGCTCACAATTCTGTAATTAATGTATAAAAATACATATTAAAGATTGATTAACACTTCTTGTAGAAATAACTATCTCATATCTCTAAAATAAAATAATAAATAAATAAATAATAATACTAAAATAAAAAAATAACTCTATAATAAAAATTGGGTAATTTCTGTCATTGTAAGAGAGCAAGTTGTATTATACTTTGTAAATCTACACAAGAAATTCAACCAAAAATACACCACAATGGCATTCCGACATTCTTAATGTAAATAAATTTAGGAAAATACTCACTTAACCTTCAGCTTGTTTTCATTCTTAAAGATGCTCCTGATTTCTCGTCCCCCTGACGATTCACCATCGGACGTCTCACTGCTGGATTTAAAAACTTTATTTTGCCGTTTGGGAGTGCTACGTTCCACTTTAATTTCGGGAGTTTTCACACCGCAAGAGACACTGGCGGCTTCTGAATCCGATGCCGAATCGTTACAAGAGATACCCTCGTCATAGGTCACATCCGCCACTTCCGATTTCAAAATTGAGCACCGATTTTCGTAGTCTGAAGTACCATCGAACGAATCGCGTTTTTTAAGAACGGATCGCGGATGCGGATACGAAGAATCGCCGCGATTGCGAAAACTGCCGGAAGACTTTAAAATGCCTCTTCTTTCATTCGTTGTATGGTCACCACTTCTACCATCTTCTAAAGAAAACACGAAAAAAATATCAGCATTATGTAACACATTATCAGTATTAAAAAAGCACACCTAAAGCAAATGCAGTAGGGGAAATGCAGCGTGCATTCTCGACTTCATCGGAAGTAACAGGTTGGGTTTGAAACCGATTAGGGCGCCGTTTAGGAACATCTCGTTTTTGAACATTATTCTCTTTCAGGGTGACGTTAAAGAACTTTATCCTCTCATGTAAACTTAGATTAGAAGGATCGGCTTCTTCTTTGTCTGACCAAACACAAAAGCAAAATAGAAAAAAAAAAAAAAAACATGTGTGGTAAAACAATACCAAGCAAAAACACTAATTGCACTTTTACCTTCAGAATCGTCAGAATTCTCTTTGGCTCTTGTTGCTTCTCGAACTTCGTCGTACGTAATCGGTTGAGTGGAAAATCTGCTGGAGGAAGATCTGTCTGATAGATTTGATTTTCTATTGCGATACGAACGAACCCCTACGCCACCTTAAAAAACAAAACACGTAGTCAGTTTAGAATTCACTCAGTCCTTATAAACAATAAGTGTGACAGTTTTATATTTTGAAACTTTCACACTCGCCTTACAGGTAAACAAAGTCTATGACCGTATGCTCGTATACACCGAAATCACAATAACAAAAATCACTTTGAAAACATAAGTTACGAAAAAACTTAATTTAATAAAAATAATTAAACAACCAATGTTGAAACTTTTGTAAGTTTATTACCTTTCACCAACTTCTTTCTCTGTGCTTCTTCGGCTATTGCTTTCATTTGAAGTTCCAAGTTAGCTTCAAGTTTTCCAGACCCCGACGTAACTTCCAGAGATTTATCCTCGTCTTGATCTAACTCAAGCCCGTCTCCAAGAGACTGAAATGCAGAATCGGAAGACATCTTACCACAAACTGCGCTATCCGGACTAGTATTATGAAGCGAAGAGAGGAAACTATTTAGATTACTATCACTCTCCAAAGAAGACGTAAAATCCAGAAGAGAACTTCTGCTCTGATTGGCGACTGGAGATAATAGAGGACTTGACTTTGGAAGTTTTGAAGTATCTTCTATTTGTGGACTCCTCACCAAGTTCAAACTACAGTAAAAATTGTATTTACAATGATGTCATTTTACACACATTAAAAACACTACTTAAGGTGTACAAATGCATATTTATCAAACAAGTCAAAGCTGACAATGCGCAAATCGTTAGTTCTCGCAATGTTCACCTCAACAAAACTGGTTGGGTTTGGTGGCACTAAATCTAATTTTAGTTGATATTTTGGCAAGCAAATCGATATAAAATCTTTAAATTTGTGCCACAAATAACAGTACAGAATAACATAAAGCTACTTATCAATATTTTTAAAGAACAGTTTCTCTTTGTGGTTATTTTATTTTAAAAGATCTTGAAATAGCGTGCGGAAATGCTGTGCTAAAATTAACTCATTTCACTCTGCTTTTGTTTCATTGTGGAACAGTTTATTTTGACAAACTATAGCGACTTCTTATGCAAAGAACACAATTTCCGTCATATCTTACCTTGCCTCGAATTCATTAGAAGTCACTGGCTGGGTCCTATATCTATCACTAGTTCTCTTTACACTTGTCCTTTTTGGGATAGCTCCAGTGGAAGTACTGCTTTCAAAATTCATCACAAGTTCGGAAACGGATAAAGGTCTCGGCTTCTTCAATTGCCTGTCCTCTTCCTTGTGTTTAATATCAGACTTGACATTAAAGTCGGCACATATAGTATGCGACCTTCTTGAGCTTCTAAACTGAATAACTGACTCATCGTTTGTATCACCACAAAAAGACAATCTAGGTCTTGCTCCCTCCTCTTTACCACCATTTTGTTTGAGTATCGGTTTAACATCACATTCACTTTCGTTAAGAATACCATGTTTAATACTAGAAAATGGTCTACTTTCTGAATTTAAATCACTTTCACGTTCTAAAGAATTTCGCGATATTTTCAAAATGGGCTTCTTCGGCCTATCCTCACACTCATCTGTGTCTGTGCTCGACTTTTTCTTCAAAATCGGCTTAGGCGTCTCGCAATAAGAATTATCATTGTAGGAACTCTCCTCAGAAAAACTCTTCTTCTTAAGAATAGGCTTAACACTCTCATTTTCGAGCACCATTTCGGCCCCTCCAGCTGCAGCAAGAATCACAGCTGTGGTAATAGATACGTGAGGAGTACTACTAGTTGAACCGGCACTACTTGCTCCAGATCTTCTCTTTAAAATCCCTTGAGGAGAGTTGAGAGAATGATCGTCATCTTCAGTTTTCGACGTTTTTCGTTTCAATATCCCGTGAAGATGTTGTTCGGGCGATTGTGTTCTTGTTAATTCTTCCATAGAAGACCTGCGTTGATTTTTAAGTATTGAGCGAGAGTCTGGTACTTTGTTAGCCACATCGGGACTACAAGATCTATGTCGCATAACTTGAGACTCGTCTAAACTACGCCTTTTTTTCAAGATTCCTTGTTTTCGGTTTGTCGTAGCCGGTTCAATGACACTTGGTGAAAATGTGACAGGAGGAGTGTGAGTTGAAGAAGATCCACCTTCAGTTCTGTGATCATCTTGTGATACTTTGCGTTTTAATATCGATACTGGAGCGGTATTTGGCACAGATTCTACAATGACAGGCTCTTCAGCTATTTTCTTTTTTAAAATAGAAAACGATTGATGAAGCTTATCTGAAGCTGAATTCCTGCTAACTTTGTCTACTCGTTTAGTAGAACTATTACTTAATGACCTCTTTATTTGTTTAGGCAGTTCTTCGTTTTTACTGGCAAGTTTCTCGACCTGTTTCAGCGTTTCTTTAGTTAAAGCCGTTAATTCTTCCATTTTTTTACTAATACTTTTATAATTCTTACTACTATCATTATCAGACAAACTTCTAGATGCGGTAGCTTTATTTTCTCCATTAATTTTAGATGTGACGCTTCCTCTTCTATTGTAAGATATTTCCTTATCTGACGTAAAGTTGTCAAAATCTGTGTTCACTGGTTTAAATTTATCCTTCGGACTGGATGACACCATTGAACGTCTGACTGCTGGTTTAGTTCTTCCCATTTCGGAATATGAAGGAGTTATGCCTTTTCGAGCATTTTCCATGTGTATGCTTAGTTCTGATTTTCGAGGAGTCAATCGTGGTGAGGCAGTGTTGGGTGATGTAGAAGATTGCGGCGATAAGAAAGGGGCAGTGAGATTTGAATCACTTTTAATTTTATCATCGTTCGAACTGTCTGCGGTCTGGTCTAAAACTTCTTGAGGGAAGAACCGGCGACGCCGTCGGCGATTCTTTACATCGTCTGAAAAAAAAATAATGCTTGATTTTTCTCTGATAAAAACAATTACGCAATTACGTTAGAAGTTTAAGTATGTTAGAAAAATCTAGAATCAACGGTTGTCTTGGCTCTCGTTGAAAGGGTAACGAACAAGAAATAATACTTCTTACAGAATTCACTGTTCTATTTTAAATCAACTTTCTTGAGTTAAAAATCTTACATAAAAAAATAAACAAAAAAGTTGACAGTAGCACTTACCAGCTTCTAAATTGGGCACCTCTTCAGAGTTTAAAGAACGATTGAGATTAGATTTTCGTTTGCTGCTTTTGTCACGTTCGATGCGTCGACTTCCAGAAACACCTGATTCATTACTGGCTGATGTGACAGGAGTTATCTTCTGGAAAAAAAACAACTTGTATACAGCAAAAAATAATGTAACTATTAATTCAAATAGATTTTGACGAATGACTGCGTTTGACAAAAACTAACACATTTGTTGTGTTTATCAGTAAAACAGAAACTCTTATAATAATGATTATAGGCAGCAACTAATCGACGCAATTCTCCACACACGCACACCCACAAATACAAGAGCAGTGTCCGTTGATGGAGAGGTGACCATCACGGGCCAGTGGTTACAGTGCTTTACAGTCGTGTATCAACCTGTTTTGAATTTCAACAACAAACGAAAAACGGTGTTAATTTAGCTTGAAAGAAATGTGTTTTCTTAATAATAATATCTCAACATCAGTATTCAAAACTTGTATAATTTAAGTCAAAAATGTGTGGAAATTTTGTTTTAATTGCAATTATATGAGTAAAGTAACAAATCCCCAGAATAATTTATCATTTATCTATTAATTTAGATCAAATTCTGCTAGACTTATTACAAAAGTAAGAAAGACTCGTTCATTTAAGTGTTTTACCTCTTGTAAATCAAGTTTAGTCTTTTGAGGACTAGAACAATTTTCTTGCGACGAGATGGCAGCCCTTAAGCGCGAAGTTCGCGTAGTCCGAGGCCCCTCTGAGCTGCTGGAATTGCTGTCTTTGCTGTTACGTCTTTGACTAGTCGGAGAGTCGATATGTATCTTATTAAATTGGGCGGCGAGTTCTTTTCTCCGTTGTTCCTTGTAGCGGGCAATACGTTCAGCCCTGCTGTCCTGACCCTCAGACATAATTGTCGGATCTGATAAATTTCCAGAGGAATGAGGTCGTAGCCATCGAGGTAAGCGAGAACGTAAGTGTCTTGACGGATGTTTACCTATAAAATAATGTTAAAGAAATTGTCTCAAAAAAATTATTTATGCAAAACATAATATTTACAAAATTTAAAGATACAGAGCCAAGAATGTTGTGATAAAAATAAAGCAAACGCAAACGTAAATTGTCAGCTTGCGTAATACAATGTTAACTTTGTGTGAGTGATTGTGGCTTAGATTCAGATAAACTACAAAAATCTACTCATGCAAATTTTATGATTAAATTAATAAAATAATCAATTTTGCTAATTAAAAAGTAGCTGAATACACAAAGAAACAGTCGAGACATGGATATTGATTGCTGTTGCGACAAAGACGAAACTATAAAATTGCTTTACTCCCGTGTGTCGTACGAAATTTTTTGCATCAAGACGAGTGTCAGATCTGAAAACAATATTCTGCACAATTATAATTAAGATTATTGCTTTTAAATAGTAAAAAAATTGATTATTTTGCTTTTTTTTAAATAGTCGAAATCGAAAAAATAAGTGTTTTTTTTTTCAGGAAAACTTTAAAGAGCTTTGTAAAACTCTTAATACTTATTAATACTTAGTTTTGGAAGAAGAAATCGGCTTAATTCTCGAAATATATTATGCCTAACAACACCTTTCTCTAAAGAAATAAAAATTGAAATCAGCTTTTTAAGCATAACAGCGATGGACAACTCGCGATTATGTCAATTCCATTAAATTCTCTATCGTCTCTTTCTATTGTCACAGGCCCACATCTTCCATGAAACGTTGAGCTCAAAAATGTTTAGGACGTAAATTTGAAATTGCAGTTTTTTAATTTTTTTCCATTTCTACTCAAAAAAGTAGACACATTTTACAAAGTGATCCACAATAAATGAATCTATTGGTAATCCTAACTCTAATTTTTAAAGGTTACCATTGGAGTACGTTTTTGATTAACAATTCAACAATCTTGAGGAGTGTACGTCAACAAGTATTTGTTAAGCAAAACCACATCGGGTTGCGGTGTTTCAAATTATTAACAAAAATACTTTCAAATCTGTTACCAACAGACTCAGTCTTTCTGGATGACTTCGTATTATCACTAAATAAAATTGAAATCGTTTGCTTTGTTTGACAAACTTCGCATTTTAATGGCAAATAGTAATTGAATTCAAATTCGTTAACGTGTCAGTAACAAAACAAGAGTTTTATTCCACAACTCACGCATGCTCTACTTGCATATTTAAATTATTTTTATCATTATTTTTTAAATATTTGATTTTTTTTTAATTTATAAAAGGTTAAAAACAAAATATTATACTTAGTAAAATTAATTATATTTTGGTAACAATTAAAAAAATAAACAATAACATTTTACAGTTATCCGCGGTTATACATACGAAGATATTCATCGTTGCCATTACATAACCAAGTAAAGCATAAATCATTAAAGTTGATGACCATGGACACTTAGTTAAACTGCAATAACTTTCAAAAAAGCTTTTTTATAATTCCAGGTATTATTTGCTTGTGAATCTTGTGGTGACTGATGACTAATGAATAATGATATAAGTTAATCCCGCAAACTTTAACTCTTTCGAACACAAGTTAGGTAGGAACAAAAAAATTAATTTCGTATATTATTCCCAAGGTTTATAGCATAATTTGCCATAGTTACTCCATGAATCTTATTTGATGTTTCAAATTATCGAGATATTAGGTTTAGAAAGTTGTTAAAGCATCGTGAATATTCCAAACAAAAATAGGCATTCAACGTAAATAACAATCAATTGCATTCTTGTACGATCACATCATTAAAATAACAAAATGTTTGAGTTTGATGGAAACAACCCAAATTCCTCGATAACAACCAATTTCTAACATCGTTCAGAAAGAAATCGTTCTCAATCTCTTTCTATATCAAAGATAAAATAAATCTATTCTCAAAATAATTAGTTTTGGTTAAAGACCTTTCATCACCGTCAATGAAAGGTATACTTGACCTATATAAACAAATTTCGTTGAGAATTAAATCACCTTAGGATGTAAATTTACATCTCCATGGTCAGGAATGCGTCACGACTACCTTGTGGTTTGAGTATATCCTTTTGCAGCAATGAAAACATCTTTCATTTAAGAGAGATTTAGTAAATTTTCCTTTAAACGCCATTAGAAAAACATTATTTATCAACAAGAATTGTAAAAAAATGTCGATTTTTTTTTAAAACATAATTAGCGATTTTAAACTACCAGTCTATAATAATCAACTTTCTCCTAATGAAAAACCTACAACCAATCTCATTATACATACCATCATGAAAATTCAGCAAATCAATTTAAAAAATAGCTACCTGCATTATGTAAGTAGGTCAAAAAAATCTAAAGACATTGCATATTCGTGTACAAATAGTCTAGAAAAAGGAACATATAAAAAACTAAAAATTATCTCAACATGAACACATTATCGCATGAACAACAATAAAATGATGCATCTTTATTAATGAAATGTGTAAAATGTTTGTAATAATAAAATCAGTGCTGTTCCAAATATGCGGAATTTTTAAACTATAAATGTTTAAGCATATTTTAATCGTTCATTGTACTACATTGTTACGGTTTACTTTAACAAAGTTTTATTAGATAAAGGTACATAAACTTCTATTAGACAAAGATTTATTTTCTTCAGATTTTATTTACATATAACGCTGACTAATGTTGATGATTTTTGACGTACCTACTTATTTACTCCTCTTGCAAAAAAGGTTACTAATGATATTATTACTATTATCATCATTTAACCAAATTCTGTTGGCGCGTAAAATGCCCACAAACTTTTTTACATTAAAATTAAAAAGAGTCTCCTCACCATTTAACCATTAAAAAGTCTACTTAATGCGTACAGATTGTCTAGAATAAGAAAGGTCCTAAGTCGCGGGTGCGCAGTGAAAAAAATAAGAGTGGGGACAGGAGCTTTTTTTGTAGGCAGTTCACATAGGCACACTTTCGCAAAAAATATAGTTCTTGCTGCAAAATGGAGTTTGATCGATACAAAAATAGAATAAAATTCTTTCACAGACTGCACCCCAGCTAATGCTAAAGCAATTGTACATCACTCAGAGACTCGTTCTTTCTATATTCTGCGCATCTCGCGGTCTTTCTTATTTTAGCCAATCTGTACGTAACCTTCACACACCAACAGAATTTTGTCAAACACTACATTACAACCTATCAGAAAAAGAAATTAAAAACATTGCAGTTACGTACCAATGGCCTGTCCCCAAATTGGTTCAATAAGTTTACATAAATCACTGCAAGATAAATCGACTGTTCTCGATAAATGTACATTCAATTACTTTAATCATTAACGTTTGTTTGATATTAAAAAGATAATGCATATCTCTTTATTATCTATTTCCTTTCTATTTAAAATTCGTTCAATAAAAATAATGCTAGTGCGCTTTACAACAAAAGATAAAAGAAATAAATATACAACAAACTATTACTTTACATGGCGCGTTGTCCCACAATTCATTAATGTTTACAACGGTGTTATCTTTCTTTTACTTCTTCCCAATCCGTTTCATTGAAGTCTATAGTAAAATTTTCTCATATTATTTTGTATTCATATTCTTACCCAACATCAATACTACAGCAAGAATAATTGGTAATTTGATAACTGATTAAATTAATTCAAGAGTTCTAATGATGTACCAATGTGCCAGTATTAACTTTCTCATAAAAACAGTTTATTCGAAAATCTAAAAATCTTTCAATATTTTTTAAAACCATTATTCAGAGTGGAGAGTGGTCATGGATACAAATTTTTTAAACGAAATCACATCTTTTAATAATTAACGAAAACCTCTGTAGACTTTATTTTGATATTGATATTATTGTAATGTATTCCCAACCATTTTTTTTTAATTAATAAAGAAATGCCTCTTATGCACTATGACATGCATTCCTACGAAATTACAACCCAATTTCCAAAAAAAAAAACAACAAAATAAGAGTGACTGTCATACCTACGCTAATGTCACTACCGCATGCTTTATCAACTTTCTGTGTCTACAAAACACAAGATAAGTCTTTTCCGCTATGATAAGGTTTTAAACTAATTTATAGGGCAATACACAGCAGCGCTATAAACTTACATTATTACTTCTCCAAATAAAAATAAATAAAAAATAATCGCGACTAGTTAAACGCACATGAAAATTTTAATTAAAACAACAGCACTGCACCAAACAGTACATCAGTAAAATAAACACAGAATATTTCACACAATTTAAACTATTAATATAACACGAATAAAAACCACAGACCCTGGATAACCAAATCCTGAGACCTGCGACCCTTATGGGCTGTACAATAAACGAACCCAAACAGAAGCACGCGCAAAGTGACAGTATTGAAAGTTGGAACCAACCTGTAGCTCTTGGCATGCAGTTCGTCATGCTCGCGCTGACTCACCATACACCAATGAACAAACTCATTCAGCGCAAGAATATGGAAAGAAAGGTTAACCTACTGCAATGCTAAAGCACTGAGAAAGCGGAAGTAGAACAAATATTTATGGAACGACATACACGTTTATGTCAAATACTAATTTTCTAATTTCAACTCAACGCACTTTCATTGAAACCGATATTTACATAGGCATATTAGTGCTTGTATAATTGCAATTATATTATTTTAAAAACCTTAATATTATTATGCAACTATGTATAAGACAAGCTCACATTCCCATAAAATAAGATTAATAAATATAGGTATTGTTTGTAATTATTGAGTTTAAATAAACGTTTCAGCTATAACTGTGTTAATTTAAACATATTTATTAAACGATCAATATTTCACCTTCTAAAACAACACTTGATCAGTTTCTCTTTTACCTGCCCATCTTCTCAAATCTCAGTTCGATGGGTTTAAAAATAAAGCATCAAGACATTAAAAAAACTAGGTATAAGACATAACATTCATTCTTATACAAATATCCGAACAGGTGTTTACATTTTCAAGCAAGTGTCAAAGTTAAAAGTAGCTTGCTTATGATTCAATTTATTTAAATAGCTCTCATTCAGAAGTGATGCCCATAAATTTATCACTTTCACTAATCTCTTTACCCAACCAAAAGCTTAAATTCTGAAAAAATAAAAAACACTTTATAGGTGCACTTGACTTGGTTCAATTATCGAAGAAAAACTTTTAAAAAAAGCCCAAAAACACCACGAACGTCGGTAAAAAAATCATACACCAGTTCCGAAAACAGATGCACATAACTTCTTTACCACATAGATCAACTAAAAAACCTTTGCACGTTATCTAAGTTGTTCTAAAATGTTTTTCAAAGACGTGACTATATAAAATAGAAATGACTGCATAAGGTAATTGATTAAAATCGAAATATGTAATACAATTGAAAGTTTGTGCTTGGCAAATTTCCAATCAAATGTTAAAAAATACACATAAAAAAATCTCACAAACCCCCTAAAATATTTAAAATATATCAGCAAACAAATATTGCATACATATCGAATTTTGATAACACATTGATAACAACTTCAAAACACTTCTGAATTAATATAAAAAATCTAGCTTAGTAAAAAATGTACAAGTTTAGCAATGACAATTTAACCGTTTCGTTTAATGTCACTAACCCTATTATTTACAAAAATACCTACAACCAGAGATAAATAGATATCTAATTAGTCGTGTAATCAGACTAGATTTATGTAAAAAACATTTACTTCAAATTACTGACCAAATAATATAAAACAGCCTTAAACAGTTCGTAGAAATACAAAGGTAAAGATAAAATACATTATCTCTGTTGTGCAATTTTCTGCCATCAAACAATGAGCAAAGAAAAACTCACAAAATAAGGAAATAAATACTTTATTTAACTATAACTAATATGACCAACAATAAATTAAATAACTACTAAACAATTAGCTGAAATTATAACATCGGCAAGTACTTGGATCACATTGTATTATGACGGTGGAAAATGAATTATTCTCCACAATAATAGTCATTTGTGGTGGCATTTAAATCAATACAGAGTTAGGCAACCAAAAATACACAAAAAATGACGGTAAAAACGATAAATCGGACACAAAAATGTTTTACAAATAGAAAATGTTACGTTAAAAATTGTCTAAAGTGGACTTAGCATGTCTATTAATATTATCAATTTTCGTATTTCTAGTAGTTGGAAGAAAGGATGTTAGCTGGTAGACACGTTGGCAGTTACCTGAAGTTGGTTGCTGATAAAGGAAATGGGCGGCGACTGTTACAGTATACCTACAATAAAACACACGACGTCACTAATGCCATTATTTTTATTATTAAGAGTGCAGGCTCATCAAGTTAGTTCTTTTCTGGTGCAATAAAGACAATAAGTGCTACATTGTTATTACACTGCTAAGCTGTTGGATGAAATGATAACATTACTTTGTTAACACTGGTCGGTATCGAAATCCAGGTAATAAATTAATAAATATGTAATTTTCAGGAGAGGATGTACGCAACATAAAAAAAGCTCTAATTTAAACATTAAAATACATTAATAAAATAACGCATTTCAGGTGAAACAATAGGTTTAACAGAACGCATGTGTATTGATGGTTGTCTAAACGAGTTTAATTAACAAAATTATCGATTAAAATTATTGAGAATTATTTCATTTGTTAAGTGCATAATATATAATAAATTTGAAAGTAAATTAAGTACGTTCAATTTCACATTCAAATTAAATAATTAACCTGCCAATACTGTTTACTTTTTTAATTTCGTGAACAACTTTCATTGTTCCGTCCCGACAAAATAAAACTTAAAAGAAACTATAACGTTTTATTGATAAAACAATTTTGTACAACAAAATTTACAGAGAAACTTAACACAATGTATTTGGCATTTATCGTATTTGTTATTATTCTTAGAATATGTAAACAAAATTGTACAAATAATCTTCATTATGGGCAAATAAGTGACAAGAAAATGGAAATATACATTAAAACAAAACATGCTTGTTTTTAAAATATTAGGGCAGCTATGAAAGATAACACTGCAAACAAAAGTCCTAAAATAGCTACAAAATCAAGAGAAGCCAGCTGATGGGCACATGCAATTCCGTAAGAACATGCAACAGCCACTGTTGCGGGGTCACGGTACCAGGCAGGAGATGGTTTTCTGTCATCATCAAGAATGTGCCCACTTTCACCCCTTTCGTTACTTCTCCTTCTAAAATCCATAACGCTATCAGACGAGGTTCCTGGTTTATTCAAATCAGATTCACGACAAATCATAGATTGATTTTGTAATATTTGATTATTTCCTTCGTTTTCTGACAACTTCGATGATTCTAAAACCAATTTAGGCGATTTCAACGAATCTAAAGAATCTAAATGACCGCATTTCTCTAAACTTGGTGAGCTACCGTCGAGTGGACAATTTGGACAAAAACCTGAACTGCTATCGACGTCTAATAAGCACACGTAATTAGTAGAGAGACTATCATGGTTAGAATCGTAAGTTTGTGAGTTAGAGACAATGAATGGTTCAAGATAGGCACATTCTTTGAAGTTGGAAGCGGCATCTAAAACACCAACACACGCCTCACCTGTAACCGTTTCATCGTTTTCTTCATCGTTTTTGTCATTTTCTTTCGATTCTACCGCTCTACTAGTCAAGTCAAGATCAAGACTGACATTGTTCTTCAACTCTTGGAAAGTTGCAATCAACTCTGCCTTGTGTTCTTCGAACGGAGATGTACATTTCACATCTTCGACCGGAGCTTCATTAAGATTCAACTCTTGATCAGAAATCAAATTTTCATAGTCATGGTCTGATTCACACGAAATCTTTACGGGGGATTTCTCCTTGACTTTAGAATCATCTCTTGTTAAAACAACATTTGCAACAGACTCTTCAAGAGTAGATTCGGTATCAATTTGCCCCACTTCTTCCAAAAGAGGTTTTGCAGATTCTATTAAATCCGTACTGTCAACAACACCTTCTAAAAGTTTTTCACATAACTTTGCCTGTTCCGACACTGCATCAATGTCAGACAAAGTCTTCGTCAATTCGTATTTGTTCAAATTTTCATCAGCAGGACTTTTCTTCCTTTTGCGGTCTTCAAAATTTTTCAATTCTTTGGCTATGCGTTCATTTGTTTCTCTAGCTTCTGTAGCCAATGCTGACAGCAAATCGTCAAGAGACGAATCTCGAGACTCAGTTTTACGGTCTTCAAGTGGAGACACCGGAATCGGAGTTGACTCTTTCGGTGACCTAGGCGACTTCCGATCGGGTGTTAAGCCTCTCGGTGGTTTGGCTTGTAAGTGGTGATCCGACATCTTCTCACCGGAAGCCTTTAAACTATTCAAGAAGTTCATCCTACTTTCAGTTATACTGTCGTTAGCGTTATTTGTATCGGTGTCGCTAAGAAATGCTCTTCTGGTTGCACTAATTTTGTTTTCCTTTTCAATAAGAACCTGACGTGCTATTTCCATTGCATCTGCAATGTCTGTTAACGTTTTTGACTCATTACTCTCACTGTTGTTTAATTTGTGTTTTCCCAAGCCTTTGGCTAAGATATTTTTATTTATTATACTGCCGATATTTGCAGATAGTGACCTCACTGCTCGTTTTTTCTTCAATGAATCGAGATCCAACTTTCTTTGTTCACACGAATTATTATTCTTAAGATCATCCGGAGACAAGGGTGGAAGAGCTGGTTCTTTACTCTGATCTTTCCGCAAGTTACGAAAAGCCAAGTCGTCTTTAACCAAATCCGGTATTTTTCGTGGTTGAAACAAGGGTCGCGGAATATTATCGGGCACAGCATGAAGATAATCACTATTAGCAGCTGGTGATATAGGCCCTAAAGGTATACCAAAAGGTGGCTGTGGTTCTACAACTTTAGGGCAATTATTGGCAAACTTAACATTTCTATAAACCACATCATCTAAAGTAATATCAGGTTCTTTAGAGATTTTATTTGGCACATCATGTTCCTTTGGCATTTCTCTTCCATAAACTGGAGATGCGTTTAGGTAACTAATTTTAGATAAAACACCTTGTGGATCATTAATTGTGGCAGAACGTTCTTTATTTAACTTTCTAAAAGCCATATCATCGGCTCTTCTATCTATAGTTTGACTTTTTCTCATAAAACGCTTACGTCTTGGAGAACCAATAGAATCAAAAGGTTCGTAACTAAAACTAGAATCGCTCAAAGCTCCTCTCGACGTAGTCCAATTGGAATAAACTTCGTGTCCTTCTTCTTTTAATTTCTGTTCAGCAGCATCCTTTTCTCGTTTCTCAGCTCTTTCTAAAAGATCCTCATCACCTAGTCGCAAACTGTTATAAATTGCCTCTAACTCATCAAGAGCTTCTTCTAAATTTGAAGACTTGCGTTTCAAATCTTCATTTTCTTCTTCTTTATCTAATGATTCATTGGTATTAACCGACGTTTCTTTGCACAGTAGAGACATAGAACGGCCGTTTCTCCCCAAATCACCTTCTTCAGTATCTATCGATTTTGTAATATTTTCTGACGTAATATCATTTTGAAGAACGCTAGGTAGAAAAACCTGAGTTTGTACATGCGTCTGGCAGGTAAACATTTGTGGACTTTTCGCATCGATTCTCCTTGTTTTCGCATCATTTTTTAAACTTCTGGAATCTTTGTCTTTTTGTTTCCAAAAATCTAACGCTTTTTGCGTCTCACTTTTGTCAAAAGAAATATTTTCCAAACTATTGTTCGATTGAATGAATATCGGTTTTCTACTTCTCGGTTTTTTATCAGTCAAGTAATTATAATTTTCCAGATTTGGGTTAGTGTGTTGTGTGCGTCTTTGAGAAACATCAGGGGTTGCCGATGACGGTCTTGGTATTAATTGAATGTTGTTTTGTGGTATATGATCTTCCGAAGTCGATCTACAATTCTTATTAAATGAACTAAATTTTTTGGTTTGCACTGCAGGAGCTTGAGAATTCACGTGGAACGATTTCGATTTCATAGGACTATCTAAATAACACGTAGTGGGCCTCACATTTTCGTAATATTGAGCCGTGACTAGTCTTCTAGGATCACGAGGAGGTGGAGGTGGTGGTTGTCGTGCATGACAAGCATTTACATGTCGAGACTCAATTAAACTCAGATTCCGTAACCTATTATTGGGTTTCCCTATAGGAAACTGAACATGAATTATTTCCGATTCGGCTTCCACAGGTAGAGATTTATGTATATTGGCATCACAAGATAAACTACGTTGATTCGAAAGATAATCAATTGAAAGTTTACGAGTACTGCAATTATAGTCGTTCATCGACAAAGGTGGCTTGTACGACGGGTTACTCGTTGAATTGCTAACTTTGATTCGATTATTGTTATGACTAGGAGGTATAGTTGATAATCCCGAAATATTCGATGACTGCAACAAGCTAGAGGACATCGTTTTAGTTTTGTTCATTGAAGGTGGAAGTAAAGGACTTCTACTTAAAGATCTGTTACTATCATCGGACGTTTTCCACTGTGGTACGGAATTTTCCGCATCCGATTTTGACAGTCTTAAAAAGTCTTTTGGATTCTCACCATCTCGTGAATGACGTTTTAAATAGCGTTCCGTCCTTGCCGCACGCGATCGACGAGGTAAAGAACCATCTTTGAAGGTTTGCCCCAAACTGTCATCACTTCTAAATCTAGTGGAAGAGGCAGACCTTTGAGAATCCTCGTCAGAACTGCTATCTCGCTTCAAGTTGACCCTCCTCGCTTCCGCCCTCACTTTTGCTAACCCTTTCCGGTTTCTTCGACTTCCAACTTCCGTTGATCCTGAGATTGAAGTACTTCTTGAATTACTGACCTCTTCAACAGTTACATTTTTAACTGGCTGTTTTACAATTTCTTGCGAATGGGTCTTTGGTAACGATTTACTACTATATCCAAACCCACTGATCGGGTCCGAAAAAATGCTGTGTTCATCGTAGCTATTAAACCCATTTGAATACAGGTGCGAATTACGAGAAAGTACGACGTGGTCGAAAGTTCCGACAGATTTAGTAGTCTTCTTTTTCTTCTCAGGTTTTCGTTTTTTTCGCCCTAAAAAACCTCTCTTCTGCAATTCGTCATCACTGCTACTATCACTTTCGTCTTTCTTTTTTCTTCGAAATAAACTTCCAAGAGACCATTTCTTCTCTTTCTTGGGTGATTTCTCGGGAAAATCATATCCATATCCTAACAAACGTCTTGATAAAGTTGGAGAATAGTAACTGTCAATGTTCTCCTTGTATTTTGATAGTTCTTCAGCACTATTCATGGTAGTGAGTTGTTGCACATCTTTAGCACGAATATTTGAATGGGACGACCAGAATCGAGGTCGGCTGCTCAGGGTCTGAAAAATAATTTAATTAACAAGCATTCTTTCAAATTTACAAATTCTTAACAAAAAAAGTATAAACAGGTATATGGACAGATAACACCTCATATTATACTCTGCCAGTTACTGTTCTAAAGTTAAAGTCAAAAGTGCGAAAAGAATCATTTTGTTTGTTCAGTCACTCAGAAACAGGTAATATCAAAAAAAAATTAAACTTATACAGGGTGTTTCGCATAATTTTACGAGACCTGTGCCTGTTAGAAGCAATCAATAATACATATTCCAATACGAACTCGATTACAAATTTCGAAAAATTGGATAATTTTCTCTAGTTTGTTCACCCTTTCAAAAATTACAACGTTTTTAGTTAATTAGTGATTAAGATAGATAAACTAGCTTCATATTCACGTCGTCTCTTGATAAAGCAAATGATAAATGTTTCTGAAAACTGCAATTTATGACTATTAATGAAAGTGTGATTAGTGATTAGACAACTACTGTCATGGGTTTCCAAAAATTAAATAATTAAATGTGTATTTTTTATATCTAATGTTTTGTTACTTTTGTATATTTTGGTGCGTCCATTAGGTGCAAGCGTCGTAAAATTGTGGGAAACACCCTGTATAAACAATATAACAATATAAAAGTTATAGAAGGTGATTCTTTTAGGGCCTACATTAGAAACTTTTTAACTTCTAATGCAGATAGGAATTTGAAATTTTGTACACAACCCAAATCAACCAGTCTGAGTTCAACTAAATTATTTTCAAAATGGCTGAACTTCCGGAACTACGAGAAATTGGCGCCAACTTTGAAATTTTAAATGGTACCCACTTATTTTTATTGCATTTTTGAATTCTCCTCTTTAAACTAAGTAAAATGTA